GCTAATCGCGAACAACGTGCAATTGATCATTTAACGGTATCTGATTCTAAACCTCGACAGCAATGTTTCAATTGTTAATTACGACAATACCAAAACAATAGCTGGGAGAACGCTGTTTCTAATTATACGTCTAAGAATCTCGTATTCTACGCAAATATAATAGTTTTAAAAAGTATGAGTCGTTTGACGCATTTATTAGTTTTGCTATTTTTAAACATGAAAAAAAGATAATCTTCTTATGAAATTTTTGTTCATCTTTATGGGGATAAAGTGGGTATCAAAATACTATAAAACCCATTTTTGATCAGTTACTCGAGTATGCATTGGCGCGTGAAGAGGCTGACGTAGAAGAGCTACGGCAAAACTGGTCCCGAATATCTACATTTCCAAATCTCTGCGTCCCTAAATCCCTGCATTGCCATTTTCTCACATACCTAAATCCCTACATCCCCAAATTCCTACATTCTTAAATTCCCATATCCCCAAATCCCCAAATTCCCATATTCCCAAATTCCTACACCCTCAAATTCCCATATCCCCAAATTTCCAAATCCCCAAATTCCCATATCCCCAAATTCCCATATCCCCAAATTCCCATATCCCCAAATTCCCATATCCCCAAATTCCCATATCCCCAAATTCCCATATCCCCAAATTCCCATATCCCCAAATTCCCATATCCCCAAATTCCCATATCCCCAAATTCCCATATCCCCAAATTCCCATATCCCCAAATTCCCATATCCCCAAATTCCCATATCCCCAAATTCCCATATCCCCAAATTCCCATATCCCCAAATTCCCATATCCCCAAATTCCCATATCCCCAAATTCCCATATCCCCAAATTCCCATATCCCCAAATTCCCATATCCCCAAATTCCCATATCCCCAAATTCCCATATCCCCAAATTCCCATATCCCCAAATTCCCATATCCCCAAATTCCCATATCCCCAAATTCCCATATCCCCAAATTCCCATATCCCCAAATTCCCATATCCCCAAATTCCCATATCCCCAAATTCCCATATCCCCAAATTCCCATATCCCCAAATTCCCATATCCCCAAATTCCCATATCCCCAAATTCCCATATCTCCAAATGTCTACATCCTCAAATCCCTTCCTTCCCAAATTCTCACATCCCCAAATCGCCATATCCCCAAATTCCTACATCCCCAAATTCCTCCATTCCCAAATTCTTACACCCCCAAATCGCCACATCCCCAAATTCCTACACTCCCAAATCGGTACATCCCCAAATCGATGCATCCACAAATCGCTACGTCTCCAAATCGCTACGTCCCCAAATCGCTACGACCCCAAATCACTACGTCTCCAAATCGCTACGGCTCCAATTGGTCAGAATAGAAAAATGGACGCCTCACACGTATTTTTGACGGTACTATTGGCTCGAGTGGTCGCCAATTCGGCGAGAAACAATGACAGGCAAACGTCTCGAGAGGGAGATAGTGCTGCTTGCGTTCAGCAGTTGTTATTGTCATTATTATTCTTATTTGCCGAAATGTAACTGGAAGTGTTCACGGCGGGGATAGAGCTACTTTGTGTCACGCGCCAACTCGTGGGTTGACATCTGTAGATTATATAGCAGTTTATTGTAACTGTTTTATTAGAAACTTCGTAACTATCACTTTTAGATCAAAAGAGATTTCATGCATCAGGTAATAATTTAAAGAAATAACGTAAAATACAATATGTAAAAATAAGTCGAAGATGTGGTAAAAAATAAACTTCAGGAAGAATAAAATAAAATGAAAAATTAGAATAATATATGAACTTGAGTAAAACCTATTTTTAAATATAAAAATGAAATTAGCTACCATCATTTTTAGTTAGATATTTAAAAAATATTATTTTGTATATTTTTATCGACTACGTGTTACGTGTTATTGTAATAATGATTCACTCATAATGTCAGGAATCAACGCAGATTTGCAAATTTGCAAAATTATTAACAACGTTGGTTAATGATAGTGAACATATCGGTATTGTAAAGTCATTACGATAATAGTTGCTGCCATTATATAATTATACCGCTATGTTGGTAATAATTACGTAGTCATTGATTAAGCTTTTTATACTAGGTATCTGTGCAATAAAAACCTAACGGAATCTTAGCGTTTAATCACAGAAACAACGATCTTCCTATTATTAGCTTCGTCTGCTATTTCGCTATTTCCATTTTGTTTACTATTATATAGATGTACATAAAATGGAAATTACTTTTCATATCATTACTTATTTCATACAGAAAATATACATATATTTTTAGTCGTTGTTTCGTGTTTCAATAAATGAAATAGAAATTCATTTTTTTATTTTGTAGTGCACTTTGAATCGGGTTAGTACTTCAAAATTTTCAAAATTTCAAATTGCAAAAATATGAAGTTCTAAAACGTTGAAATTTCACGATCCAATAATAACAAAAGTTTGTAATAAATTCTTCAAATTCTCAAAATCCAAAATTCCAAAGTTTCAAAAGTTCTGAAAACTCCAAGTATTGTGAAAATCCCCAAAATTAAAAAATCTCAAATTCTCATCAAATTTGAAAGAATCAAGTCTTCAAATTTTAAAACTTCATAAGTTTCAAAATCTCAAAGATGTCAACACTCAAAATTTTCGAAATCCTAAAATCACAAATTCCCAAGAGCCCCAAAATCCTAAAAATCTGATAATCCCAAAAACCCAAAACTCCAAAATCTCTAAACTCCCAAAATTCCAGAAATCTGAAAATCTCAAAAACCCAGAATTCCGAAGTTCCAAATGCTACAAACTCCCAAAATCCCAAAAATCTCAGAATCCCAAAACCCCAAATCTCAAAATGTTCAAAGACTCTCACTCTCGCGTACCGCGTACTCCCGCCATTAGCACGTGTGAAGCAATAAAAAAATAAGTATTCAGCTACCCAGAAAGCTGGCGCAATTACAAACGTCGACTAAATTCCGAGAGGCGTTTTTACCTCTCGGTAGATAATCTGGTAAAAAATTTGGCTGGCAACATTGAACGCCAAGAACCGGCAGCGTATTTCGTGGACCCTCAATCGCGTAACGATCGAAAACGAATCGTAATTAATTAACGATTCAAGTGAAAGTCTCCGGTTGTTTTGTATCCGCGTTTATCTCGTATAAACAAAACGAGCCTAGAAAACGGTTCTCCTCGTACCGTTCAGCTTCGTCTCTGGGAATCTTGCGGTGATATCACGCGTAACCCGTGCGTGCTAAATGTAAAATACGATGGCAACCCTCGGCATTTGCAAACTGGTCGTTCACGGTGTGTTTCAACGTCTGACAATGTTAGACACAGGGGCTCCACCGAGAACGTAAACGCGTCAGTGAGGTGGATATATATCGTGGAACAACGTGGCAAGATATTGATTGTGCTTGAAACAGGACCCTCTTTAACCCCTCTTCGACCCGCCCCTGGGCTGACTCTTCGAGAGATTCTATTAATCTTGTTACGTGTAAGCTTCAGGTAAAACGCTGCGAACGACGCGATGCGATTAATTAACTTATGAGAGACTTACGAGGAGAATTAATTCGATTGATTGCGCGAGAAAGGACAATGTTAACACTCTGACGGCTACATATTTTACGGTTTCAATGGATCTCGCCATTACACATTTTTCGAAAGTTGTTGGTATTCGTAGGCACTTTTAATACCAGGCCTCCAGTTGCTATCTCCGCTTAATAAATCATGTAACAAGCTGATCGAAACTTATTGGTTTTAACTTTGTATTCTATCGCGTGAATTATCTCAATCTGAGGCCGCTTTGTATCAGATATTCTGAAGTTTTATTCAGAATTTCAGAAATGGGCTTTCGTAACCTACACATACATCAATTTTCTTGGGATATTTTCATTGTACCTTGAAAACTGATGAAATTAAAATTGTTAATAATTTGACAATTATATGTGATGGATTCGTATGAAAATTTAATCGTCATATGTGATGGTCACATATGGGTAAAGTGTTAATGTGGATTTTAATGTAGTAAAACCCTAAACCTATCTGAAGGATTATATGTTTAAGCTCCGAAAATTTTGGAAAGATGACAATATGTGTAATACAATTAGCTAAGGAGTAACAGGACAAGTGGAACTAGTTTCTGGAGTCCAATTCAACAAATAAATCACTTGGCAGACCATTAATCCTATAGTGCTTATATTAAATAAAAAATTGATTAGACTAATGCTAGTTCCCCCACCGGTATATCTCGTATGAAACCGATTTCTGCAAGATGGTAAATTTTTTTCTAAGCTCGAACAGGAGCTAAGCAGACCCGTTCCAACTGCATAATTCACCTGGTACAATGAAACGAATACGTTTAACGATAAAATACGGATGTTAATCCTGAATATTTGCAAACTGGTCAGAGTCTCGTTGCAGAATGTTTCAGCGAAAGGGGGATGAAGAACAACGAGCAGCCCTTCTGCAGAGAACAACTATTCTTTCGAATGTGCGCACTTACTTTGATTGAATTCGAATAGAGATTCAAAACGACGTTTCTAGAAAGCTATTCCAGTTTCTTGTTCGTTCTTCATTTTCTCGGTCGGATTGGTGCAACAACTCGAGAATCGTTCGATAAAAATGCTCATTAAATGAGGATACATATTTACCGATACACGTTCGAGAATATATTGGCGTAAACATTGAACCGAGTATTTGTCAATGACACCAAGAAAAATGAAAAATTAAGCGAGATAAATGTATTCATCTTTCGTGTAACGCTTCGAGTGGCTACGGTTTTCTTTATCTGAGACAGATAACTCCCTGCTTGTTAATTAGTCTTGATATTCCTCCAGAAATAGTGTAAAAGAAATCGTACAAACGATTTCTCGTTTTATAATAATATTATTTGTGTTCAATAGAATTTTAATATCATTTTAAAATTATCAGTTCAATGTTTAAAAAATTTAATAAGCATTAATCAGTTGCAATGTTTTTTTTTTTCTATTTTTTGTTGCATTTTCGCATTTTTTCATTCCCATTTATATTCCAAAATGTGCATTTATTTTTATCTGTACTCCGGGCTTTCAAATAATATTTTTATTCGTGCTACATTTATTATACGTTGGAAATATTCATTTTTTAAAAGCCTTTATTCCATATCCTTCATAACCAAATCCATTGAAAATACAACAAGCATAAACCAGCATAATGTACTTTTATTCATCTCAATATTCTGCTCCGCGATTTAATCATAAATAATTCAAGACACGAATTATTAATTTCCTAAAGTACCTCAATTCGTATCTAAAGTATAAATAACCTGTTTCGTAATTTTTAAATATTGCTGCAATTCATGGTTAACAAAAATATCTTGTGTAACAATCTATTTTGAAACTTGTCCCGTTATATTCGAAGTGGAAGACATACTAAATAATTGATTTGCATTAATCCCTCGCGTGCGTCAGACACAATTATTCACTGCACAATATCACAACAAATAAAGAAAATTATCCTTTCAATTTTGTATTTAGCAATCTTAGAATATGCAAATTGCGAATGCATTTAAATTGAAGTATTCAAAATTCGAACAAGATCACATTTGAACCCTGAGCACGTATCTGACTCGTGAAAGTATGACAAATTAAAATGACAAGGTTAAATACTCAAAACTCGCAAAATGAACTTTCATTTGAACGAATATTCTTTCAGTGTCCTGAAACTATACTCTTAGCCGGATCGTCCTGGTAGATATTGCAACGAATTAATCGGTATACCGGTTGATTTTAGCTGCGTCAACAATTGCAGCAACCGGAGAGACAACGCCAAGATGATACGAGCGTGCACTTTGCTTCTTTCCAGCAAAGCTTCCCCTTCAACCCCCTCGAAGACACTTCGCGACCTCTCTGCCCCTTTTCTCTATCACTTATATTCCTTTACTCCTGCTTCGAATTCTACTTCTTCTTCTTCCACGAATTGATAACAGTCGTTCGACTCGATGTTATTCGATCACCTCGTTTTGCAATCACTATGTCACTGCCATTGTCTCCGATGCCATTACAGGGAATCTACAGAGAGGCGTCTTCGAACTTGCAACCACCAGATAACTGTTTCTCGATATACAGACACGAAATGAACTACGAATATGACTTCCACGATTCTGTTCGGTAATTTTTCATTTCCTGTATTTTATTTTATATATTGTATTTTATACAACGTCGAGTATTATTTACACGCAGTGGATTAAGCTGTTTGCTTTGAATACGAGGTAAGTTCTCTTGGGATACTGCTGTGTGTGAAGAGATTTGACAATAGAAGTCGAGGATTCTGATACTTCATTTCCGAATTTTCATTAATATACTCTGTAAACTTCTAAGAGAAAGATGTCCAAAGCTAACATAAAACTAGCGTTGAATACAGAAACATCTCCACATAATAATTTAAAGTATAACGCAAGAATTTGTGTCAAGAGTAACATGAAAAGTAACAAGAAGTTTGTCCACAAATATGACTAAATAATGAAACTAATGCAGAACATAGTTTTATACGGTGTCTCAAGAAGCGAACAAATATTTCTTCTCCACAAAAATGGTTGAGCCGCAGCTGCATAGGTGTACTTATGTTAATCGTTAACATTTCGCTCTAACCAAACAATAAAGATCAAACATTTCTTAATCAAACGAGTGTCAATTTCTCTGTATGAACCTGTCCCTGTCATAAAACTTGTTCAAATTTGAATAACGCGTTTCCGAAGGTACGCAACAATTAAGCATCATAATTTGTTAGCCAATGCAGTCGATGATGCTCGACATCCTACGTCGGAATTTATTACGTATTTTATAAATTCCTGCAACCTCAAACCGTGGAATTTCACAATTGAAATCGTTGCCGGTGTGCGTCACTGCAAATGAATAATGACGAAATACAGAATCCAGCCTCGATACGACGACATTAACCGAGCACGAAAAAGACTCGCTGGTGAAAAATATAATAACGCGTCATGTTTATTATTAGTGATCGAACAAAGTATGAGAAAGGTACGATAGAAGTATTACAACGATATCTGCATGACGCAAGTAAACAGAAATCCAACTGCTAATGAAATAAATTATATCCGCGAAACGAGCATCTTCGGATAGTAATTGCTCGCTGCGTTTCTTTGCTTTAATTGGAAAACACATAAAACCCCATTACACGCAACGTCTTCTCGTTCACAAATGAAATCGTTTTCGCTTTATCGTCGAAATAATTGTATAGTTTGATGATACGGCTACCGTTGCTTTGGTCGTTCGCTGCAACAATCGTAACTCGCTGCGAGATTTTAAAGGAAACGAGATTGTTTTGAAACTTAAGAACGTTACATCAATTAATTACCCCTGCGTACATTTTTAACTCGTTACCGAGGCATAACGAGTTAACACGTCATTTTCATTCAGTAAGCAAGTATAATTTACTAACAAACGAAATCTCTTTTCAATTAAGCAAATCCGATTTGCTTTCGTTACCATTTTATGGAAGATACACGGTTCAATTTACGCACTTGTTATAGCCTTACTATTTACAAATTGTACGTCTCGAAAACCAAGTTGTATGAATTTTGAGCGAGTTTGGAAAATTAAGCATTTACTAATTCGAAGATTTAGGTATTTATTTATAATTAACCGAGGTCGTTGATGAGCCCTATGAATGATTTTCAAGTTGTAGTTTTATTTCAAAAATTCGAAGGGCGATTATGAGTAATGAATTTAACAAATTAATGTTTTGTTGTTCAGGGGTTTGGGAATTTTAGGATTTCTGAATTTAGTAATTTGCTGATTTGGAAATTTGGGAAATCGGAAATTTGAGAATTCGGGAACTTGAGAATTCGGTAATTTGAGAAATCGGTAATTTGAGAATTCGGTAATTTGAGAAATCGATAATTTGAGAACTCGAAAGCGTGAGAATTCGGTAATTTGGAAACTCGAAAGCTTGAGAATTCGGTAATTTGAGAACTCGAAAGCATGAGAAATCGAAAATTTGAGAATTCGGTAATTTGGGAACTCGAAAGTTTGAGAATTCGGTATTTGGGAACTCGAAAGCTTGAGAATTTGAAAATTTGAGAATTCGGTAATTTGAGAACTCGAAAGCGTGAGAATTCGAAAATTTGAGAATTCGGTAATTTGGGAACTCGAAAGCTTGAGAATTTGATAATTTGAGAACTCGAAAGCTTGAGAATTCAGTATTTGGGAACTCGAAAGCTTGAGAATTCGAAAATTTTCGAATTCGGTAATTTGGGAACTCGAAAGTTTGAGAATTCGGTAATTTGGGAACTCGAAAGTTTGAGAATTCGGTAATTTGGGAACTCGAAAGTTTGAGAATTCGGTAATTTGGGAACTCGAAAGTTTGAGAATTCGGTAATTTGGGAACTCGAAAGTTTGAGAATTCGGTAATTTGGGAACTCGAAAGTTTGAGAATTCGGTAATTTGGGAACTCGAAAGTTTGAGAATTCGGTAATTTGGGAACTCGAAAGTTTGAGAATTCGGTAATTTGGGAACTCGAAAGTTTGAGAATTCGGTAATTTGGGAACTCGAAAGTTTGAGAATTCGGTAATTTGGGAACTCGAAAGTTTGAGAATTCGGTAATTTGGGAACTCGAAAGTTTGAGAATTCGGTAATTTGGGAACTCGAAAGTTTGAGAATTCGGTAATTTGGGAACTCGAAAGTTTGAGAATTCGGTAATTTGGGAACTCGAAAGTTTGAGAATTCGGTAATTTGAGAATTCGAAAATTTTCGAATTCGGTAATTTGGGAACTCGAAAGTTTGAGAATTCGGTAATTTGGGAACTCGAAAGCTTGAGAATTCGGTAATTTGAGAACTCGAAAGCTTGTGAATTCGGTAATTTGATAATTCTCAAATCTAAAAATTCGTAAATTTTCAAATTCGATAATTAGATCCTCTGAAAATGAATAAATATCGCAATATGGTACAGCAGAAATGAACCGTTCGAATGTATACAACGCAAAAAACGTATTAATCTGTCAGTACATCTAAAAGTTCTTTCAGGTGCAAAATACTCAAGAACCACTTACTGTCGCTAGATAAAAAACGTGAAATATGATTTGTGAACTAATTCGTACCTTGTCCGTTTCCCCTCCAATCTCTCTGTCAATATCTAATCGAAACCAAAGAATTGTATAATATATTCACGGTCTTTCCAACCAGTCAGACTTGTCGGCGAAAGAAAAAGAAAAATAGGAAGGTGAAAACTTAATTGCTAGTAACTCGTTTACGACTATACTGTGTTATCGGTTCACCTATACCTGTACCAAGATTTTTGATACGATCTGTAACATTAATTACTATTTCCAGATAGCCAACGGCAGATGAGAGATATCTGATTACTTACAAGCGAACGACAGCCGCTATCTGTGTAGTTGAAACGACGAAAAAGCTTAGATAACTCGGGAGCCACTGTACACACGTGTACGTCGTGTATTAAATTTACCGTGTGTGATATAATTTGTCTCATAAGGTAGATGCAAGAACATGTTATTATCTCGCAACTAGAGATCACGTAATTTCATATAATATTTATTAAATGTGTATATTAAAATATACACGTGCAGTAGGGTTATATTTCTGAAATACATACATGGTAGGGTTACATACATATACACTATAAATATAGTAAGATGTATGTACATGATCTATACCAGATGACACAATTACTGCGTGCAGTAATTAAATAATTAATCGATACTTGAGTAATAATTCAATATATTTAAGTATGAGAAAAAGTTAAGCTATCTTTTAATTTATAGTCAAGTAATCGCAACTATTTACATATGTGAACGTGTTATACTTCGGAATGTAAAGAACAAATAAATACCAAGCTTTGAAACTGATAACTCCTAAATAATCGATAGCCAGCAAAATGAGTTACGATCGTGTTCAGCAAAACTCTATAACATACATAAATTTCAGCATTCGCTACTATAACGCAATTGGAAGTTTGAATCGGTAAACGCGTACGTTCGCTTTCTGCAATTAACTGGACGTATATGTACGTCGTTCCCGGCGAAAGGATTAATTCTGTAAGCGTAACGCGAGCCGAGAAGAGAGTCGCCTTGTATCTAAGCCGTATCGAGCGAGCAAAAAGTGGAAAGGTATAAAACGGAAATATGGCGAGCAAAATTTCCCGATCGTTGGAACGCGTGGTGTAATTATTTTTCAATGCCACACATCCTGTTAATGGGCCATTCCGGTGGCGCTGGTTACACTTGTTATACAACAATAAAAGCAATAATAAGGTTACCTAAATTACTCTACTTTCTCCACACGCGACGACGCCACGGCTACAAACAAGTCGAGCATACAACGGCTTTCCGGCCGTCGCGTCGTTGCTCTTCTTTACTCATCAAGACATTAATTACAAATGTACATTTCTGTTTGTTGGAGAAAGCGATAACCCACAGCGTTTACGTGTTGCTTTGTTCGTTGAAATAATCGAAATTCACGGGCACGAAATTCGACTAAAAGCACCATTAACGTTCATCTTCGGAGCAGCGGTTCTCAACAACGCGCAGTAACGCGTTAAATATTTTTTAATTCAACATGAACGTAATCGCGATTATGATTATCCGCGGTTACGCTTATCCACGGTTACGCATATTCACGGTTACGCATATTCACGGTTACGCATATCCACGGTTACGCATATCCACGGTTACACTTACCTGTAGTTATACTTATCCGCGGTTACGTTTACCCGTAATTATACTTATCCGCGGTTGCATTTATCCACGGTTACACTTATCCGTGGTTACACTTATTCGCGGTTCCACTTATCCACGGTTGCATTTATCCGCGGTCCTCCATATCCGCGGTTCCTCATATCCGCGGTTCCCCATATTCGCGGTTCCTCATATCCGCGGTTCTCCATATCCGCGATTCCTCATATCCGCGGCTCCCAATATCCGCGGTTTTCCCTATCCGCGGTCCGCCCTATCCGCGAATCTCCCTATCTGCGGTTCCTCCATATCCGCGGTTCTCCATATCCGCGTTTTCTCATATCCGTGGTTATGGTTATCCACAGCCGCCTTTTTCCACAATTGTACTTACTCCCTATTATACTTATCCACCATTATCCGCGGTTGCCATTATCCGCTGTTCACTACATTTATGTTCCCTTTCGTTCTATCGTACAATCGAAAACAAAAGTTTCTAAATAATATTAATGTTTGTATTTCATATAAGTTTCTGTCCTTCGTTTGAAGTTACATGAATACGATATTGTTGTACAAATTAAGAATCTACAAAGATCAAAAACGCTTTTATATAGCTATGTTCATCTTCATGAAATATAGATATCGATACTGGTTGATCTTTGTGCACAACTGTTTGTAATTGCTTTTATTGAAACAGATCAATAATATATGTGTACTAACGAAGTTTTAAATAAAACAATTTTTGTATGTAAAGATCAAGAGAAATAATTTTAAAACATACTTTAAACTACTCTGATTAAGTTTATCGTTATACGGAATGTTGCGAACGCTAATATTTCAAGAAAATATACAAAAATATCTGGCTAGAAGGAACAAAATTCTTGTGCAATTTTCGCGATCAGCGAAAAATAAACTGCTACGAAAGAAAATTAAAGTATCACGCGTCGCAAGAAGCGACTGACCTCCATTT